TCCCTAACGTTCTGTGATTCTGTGATAAGGGCCACCTATAGAGGGCCACTCAGACATCGAGGTAGGGGAGTGGCTGCCATGTGTGAGTGGAAAAGCTGAGGGAATGATGCTCATTCACCCTGGAGAAGGGATAGTTTTTGGGCAACATAGCAGCAGTTTGCAATGCATGCAAGAAGGTTTCTGAAAGGATGGACCCTGGCTGTTCACAGCAGTGCAGGAGGATGAGAGATAAAAGGCTTCAACTGAAACAAAAAGGTCAGCTGGGTCATAAAGAAAATCTTTTTCGATGTGAGGATAGTCAAGCAGAGGAAGAGGCCGACTCAGGGAAGGCTGTGTTATCTTCAGACTTGAAGATTTTAAAGATCTGCATCCTCTGGGCTTTGTCTGGCTTGGTTGTGATCCTGTTGTGAGCCACAAGGTCAGATTAGAGACCATGTGAGTTTGTTTCCAACCAGCATTGATTCATGGTTCTGCAGTTCTTCTGTGTCTGTCAAGACTGACTTGAGACAACTCTGTGAGGCCATGCTGGCAACCTGTAGCCTGGAGGTATCTGAAGGAACAGTATAATAGAGTAAACACCTTGGACATTAGGCAGCTAAATCCCAAAGAGTAAAATGATGCATGGACTTCCGTAAGGGACTTCTGAAGTCCTTTCAGTGTTCTAGTTGCAAATCAACAACAAGCAGCTTTCTGTTAGGAAAGAATAGAATGTAATGTAGGGCTTGTGAACTTGGAGACAGTGTATTGAAAAGATGTACTGAAGAGTTAATCTCCACATAGATGTTCTGTTTCAGATTATCCCTGGAATATCCAGTGTGGTCACTCTGAGATTTTTTTAGTATTCTGAAATAATAGTTTCAGATTGTCTTTTTCCTTTTTATCTATGCTGTTCCAACCCAGCTGCCACTGTTCTGAAATAGTTATTTAACAGTAAATGAGTTGTAGTTTGGAGTGGCTGGTGTGTATTTTTAAATAAAGTAATGAAAGTTTTGAAAACGAAGAACAGACTTTAGGTGGAAACATTCCCTATTCTGTCAAGTACAATTACACCGATATCTCAGGATTCAAACACATTACCAACCTAAACCATTGTATGATTCTGTGATTAAGGATGGTGTATTGGGATCTCAAGTCTGTCGGTGTCAGATTTCTGTTGAAGGCGATGTCTTTTCACTTGACCATGGCATTCTAAACATTGTATTTCTGCCCCCCCCCCAACCCCCAAACATATCTATTTCAATAAATCTTGCGCTGCTTGCTGAAGTTCTGCTTGTGAAACAGTGGCATGGCTCATGATTTCAGAAGATAGGAAGCATTTGTATAGTGAGTGACAGTTGAGGGCAAGCAAAAAAGCCCTAAAGCAATATGGTAATGTTAATACAAACTGATAGTCAGAGACCCTGGGCTTGGTGGCATGAGGAGCTTCAGGGAAGTAGAAATACTGTTCTGTTTTTACTGTTGATTCATAGAGGCTTTTTGAGTAGCTTTTAGCTATTGACCTTTTGAAAATTTCATGCTATTTCTTGGTTATAAAAATGCATGTGGCTCTTTTTGCTTTGACCACAAAGGTTCATTCCACCAAGGAAAATATGTGCCATGTGACAGAGTAGGTGTTTCTTTTTCAGCCAAGTGTCTAATGAGAAACATCCTTTTGTTTAACATTAATAGAATTGCTAATGTCACTCTTCTGTTTCAAGCCAGGTCTGCATGCACATTCACAGCGTTGCTGATGTTGAAGATATACTTGAAAGGTACTTTACTTCCTTCCTTTCCCCCTTGCTGTGTTCTTCCCTTTTTGGAGCCACAGAAAAAGTGATATTTTTTTTTTCTGACACCTAGAATTGATAAGACCAGTAGCAAACCAGTTCCTTCTTGTAAGCTACAGTGGCTTTTAGCCTGGCCTAGCAGAGAAAAGTTTCCCAGTTCCTTGTTTCCTTTATGAAGGGCAGGATTAAGTTTCAATAGTTTCCTGGTGCTTTCTTTCTATGTTTTTCTTGCTTAAGGTGTCTGTAGCATAATAAAACTTGACTTACAGTTGGATCAGATGTTCTTTTGGCTGTTTTAAGTTTATGGATTATATCTGGGTAAGGTATAGTTAATGATCAAGTAAGGGAAATAATGTGAGCTGTTGCTGAAATGAATAGCTGATATTAAACTGGAAGAACGTCAGGGAACTGTGAGAATGCAGACATAAAAGATTATCTGAGTGTCAGAAATGTGGTCAGAAAATGAGTAAATGAGAGGTAGCCTGGAGAATGTGTTAACATAAGATTTTTGAGAGAGTAATATAAACCACAGTTTCTAAGGTGGCTGGGGCTCGAGGATGAGTAGTGGAGAATGACTGATGTTAAGAATCAAATATGTATCTTTGGGAAGCTATAGCAGCAATGAAATCTGAACGTCTGTACTAACTGTGCATAAATACTCACAGTTTGAACCTATACAACTGTAAGTGCAGACAGGAAATTGCATCTACTTTGGACACTGTGTCCTGGTTTTTACTTTTCAGCTCAGTCTCTTTTAAGTGACTGAACTTGCTGAAAACTGGCAGCATGTTTTCCCAAACAGTGGTGCTAGAAGATATGCTCAAGGTCAGTTGTCTCATCCTGGGTGCTGTGTCTGTGCCTACGGGGGGAGAAACAGACCCAAAACTGACCAACGAGGTATTCCATCCAACATATGTCATACTTGGTATAAAACCAAGAGATCACGAGGGTCTGGCCCCTTTTTTCCCTTTTTGTGCTTTTGCCCTTTCTACCGTTCCTTCCATCTCGACCCTTCCGTCCATCTCAATCCTGCAGAGGCCAAGGCCTGAGCAGAATCCTGCTCATTCATCTACCGCTGATCCTGATTCATGTGTCCTGCATCCTGCTCCCACTGCTGCTGAGTTTGGTCTGGGACTTTTCCAGTGCCCGGCTCTGCAGAGCCTCTGGTGACGTATTCGTCATTGGGGGGAAAGGGTGGGGGGGAGGATTTTATATTGGTTTTGTATATATTTGTACATATTTGTATATATTTAATTATTTTCATATTTACAATATTGTCCTGTAGTATTAGTATTATTGTTTCATTAAATCTGTTAGTTTATTTTCCAACCCGTAAAGTCTCTCTCCCTTATTCTCTTTTCTCTTTCCTTCTGGGGAGGGGAGAGGGGTTAATAGAGAGCGTCTGTCCAGGATTTAGTGGCTGGCCCAGCCCTAAGCCACAACACACTGTCATTGACATGATTTGTTAATAAGGAAAAAGGGAGACTTGGAGAATGGAAGGATAATGAAAAGGTTGAATTTTTCTTCTTGTATTAGGCCTCTTAGAGGACTCGTGTGTGTGTGTGTGTGTGTGTGTGTATAGATAGATATATATATATATAATTTGACACCATGATGCTTTAAGTGCCAAAGTATACAAATAGAATGGTATTTAAATGAGTAGAAGGAATGTACTTGCAGCAGTCGAAAAGGTAAACTTTTACACAATGAACATTAAGTCCTTCATTAAAATGGAAACTAATCTGCCAAGCTAAGAAGATGATAAATATCCCTGTAACTTGGTGCAATTGGAAGTAGATGATGAAAGTCTTGGTCGAAAGTGAAATAGGAGTAAGTCTCAGACTAATACAGAGCAAGCAAGTATTTCCTTTGAAGTCTTGCTTTTGCAGATGTAGTGTGTACGACAGAAGAATGACTATTGAGAGCTGCATTTGATGAGTAGCTTAAATAGGTGACTTAAAAGTTCAGCTGTTAAATCTAAGAATATTAGTCTGTTCTTGCACAATAGGGCATTCTTTAGCACATGGTTTAGTGGGCATTAGTGGTGTTAGGTTGATGGTTGGACTTGATGATCTTAGAGGTCTCTTCCAACCTTAATGGTTCTGTGATTCTATAATAGCACTTAAGTAATGAAATCTCATATTAATAGTTTTTTCATGAACTGCAACTGTTGCATACCTTGCTTTCTGATTGTTGCAGGTGCCTTCGCTTGCAAGATGGTACCATTTGTTCAATCCACTGCTATTGTAACTGAGATTCTTACAATGACCTGCATTGCTGTGGAAAGACACCAGGGAATTGTGCATCCATTAAAAATGAAGTGGCAGTACACCAATAAAAGAGCTTTCACGATGCTAGGTAAGATTTTAGACATCTCTGGTCATCTGGTATGTAGAGAAATAATCTTCATAGCTGGTGTAGATGGCATGGCAGAACAGAAGGCAATAACATGACCAGTGTTAGAGTTAATGATAAGTCTAGTAACGTTTATAAAATAGCTCAAGCATTGTACCGGTATGTATCGTAATTATTAGCCAAAACTCTCACAATAAACTTAAAATCTGAAATCAAAGAGTTATTTAACCAAGACTCTGATAAACCTTTGGCAGTTTTTTTTTTTTATTTTTAAGAGAAGTTCAAAATTTATAAGCACTGCTGAAGGAATGTACCAGTTGTAAATGGTCCTTCTCCATAACACAGAGAATATATATAGTGCTGCACATGCAAATTAAGTTGCCTTTACACACGGCAATAAATGAAGGTAGTTTGAGAGAAAGGAAACCGGCAGCAAAAATGCATGCTGTTAACTGATGTGAATGTTGACTGATGTGATGTATGCCTCATGTAGAAAACTTTATTCTTTAAATTGTCTACTTTGCCTGATTTTTTTTTAAGGATGAAGCTGTTAAACTGTTCATGCCAAACTTACACTGCTTTTTGTACACATTATTAAAAACTTTATTTGTTTGCAGGCATAGTCTGGTTGCTGGCAGTTATTGTTGGGTCACCTATGTGGCATGTGCAACGACTTGAGGTATGTTAGGTGAAATGGCAATTTACATTTTAAACTCAGTCCATACCAGAACTTTTTGTACTTTTAGTAGTGACATTGAATAAAGAAATGAGTGGAATAAGAGAAGTGGAGCTTTTGTTCTGTTTGCCAGCATGAGAAAGGCTAAGGATTAGGACTTGCATGCACTGGGAGAAAGACTACTGATAGTGACTAGTTATGTCTGCCGTCCCAATTACGTCAAAATTGCATCTATGGCTTTCACTGTGGCTTCTGATTGGTTTATAGGGGCACTGGCACACAGTAGTGTAAGGCTTAGATTAATGTTTTGGGATGACATAGTGTTCCCTGGGATTTTGAAGGACTGTGTCTAGATTAAAATGTAATTAGCTGCCCATTGTAGTTTAAGTTTACTGTACACTTTTGGAGGGGAAAAAAAAAAGGCATGACAGAATCTGCTGCTTGTGGGTCTGGATGTTAACAAGTATTTTTTTTACAGTTGTTAATTATGTGAGGTTTCTACACACCTGTCTTTGCTTGCAAAATATGTAGCTATGGTCTCCTTTGAAAATCCTGATTAAAGAAAAAAAGGTTTTGAGAAGTGCAAATCAGAGCATCTCTTGACCTCTTTGTCAACTCTGATCAATGTCACACTTGATGTAGAAAAGTACTTGGAAGAATTTTGTCACTTTGGAAAGTCTCTCTGTTGAATTGTGGTGGTTATATTAAGAGCAGGTAATAATTGTATGTGCTTGGTTTTTACACTTGGGGTAAACACTAGTGACTCATCTCCTTTACACTTGTTACAGGTTAAATATGACTTCCTATATGAAAAAGTGTATGTTTGTTGCTTGGAAGAATGGGCGAGTCCGATTTATCAGAAGATATATACGACCTTTATTCTTGTTATACTCTTCCTTCTTCCATTGATGTTGATGCTTTTTTTGTACACTAAAATTGGCTATGAACTCTGGATTAAGAAAAGAGTGGGAGATGCTTCAGTTCTTCAGACTATTCATGGGAATGAAATGTCTAAAATATCAAGGTTTGTAAAGTAAAATACAGTTGGACCTTTGACTTCTAGGAAGAACTTTTTTTTCTTCCCTGACAGTTCTTGAACACCAGTGCAAAAGAAAAAAACCAATGTCTTTCTATCCATTGGGAAGTCTACAAGCACAGACCAGATTTTTGAAGCTAGCTAGTTATTTAACACTTAGATACCGAATTTAAGGCAATGTAAATGGTTTTTCTTCTCAGTGTACTGTAGCCACACTTTACAAGTCAAGCCCTTTCAATAAAACTCACATTATACATTGCATAATGCTTGTTTTTAAAAGATGTAAGCTATGAGTTAGAAGATGACTAAGGAAAATACTGCTACAGTATTTCTGTATGTTCAATGAAAAGTTCCTTATAGTTCCTTCCATTCACAGTCCTGAGACTGTGAATGCTGCTTTATGATCCTATTATAAGTTAAATTGGCATATGGGGGGAGAAAGAATTAATTTAAAAACTGCTTCGGTACAGTTTAACTTGATATAGCTGAGAGAGTTTTGAGTGTTCTTAGATGTGTTTGTGTGTGGCTCTCCAGATGGTAACTCTGTCTTTAAAGTTATAAAAATCAATAATTCTGAACTTTGATATTTAGCAATAAATATGGGCTACCCTTAATATTGCTTCATGTCTTTCCTTCTGTTTGGCAAATTGATCTGTATCCTGATGTGCTAGAAACCTTTAGCAGTTCTGCTCACTGAAAAGAGTAGCACCTTAAGTACTGAGAATACTGACAAGCAGCTTAAGGATAAATGACTATAGTTATTTGTCTAACAAGGTGCCTAAGGAAGAAGACACTTATAAGTCAAAACTGAAAGAGGATGCAATTTCACAAAGGTTAAGGTGACGTGTAATCTTTGGGCTACTCCTCAGCTTATTTTCACACAGTGGGAAAAGCTCCTGGAATTGCTACCAGTGATGTGAGAGATCCATCTTGGGATCTCTAAATGTAGTTATATGAATTGTATATCAGTTTGGAGATGGCTATAAATTCATGTATACCTTGAGTTTGTGAGATATTCTGTTGGAGGCATGGAGTGTGTTTCTTGCTCTTACTCCAATGCTTCACCTACCAGAAACAGGTGTAGTTTCATTTACTCACTCTCAAATTCTCTGTGTAATCATGTGCTGCAGGTATGGTCAGTGTTCCCAATTCTAGGAAGGGAGTCTTTTGTTTTGACCTATTAATGGAGTTTCATGTGGTGGTGGTTTGGTTTTTTGTGTTTTTTGTTTTTGTTGGTTTTTTCCCCCCACCCCCTCCCTCTTCCTGTCTTTTACTTTTGAAACTGCATCTGCTTGAGTAGAGTAAAAATGCCTTGCAAGATATGCTAATATCATTGCTTGCTGCAACTATATTGCTTTCCCAAAAGAGAGAAATAAAAGGTATTAATTTAAGTACCAGATTTATGATCTGATATCATAAATATCTGATAGCATGATGCTGCATTTTTTGTTTCAAAGGGAATTGTGTGCTTCGGAGCATTCTTCCAGGATTTTATTTGCATCTGCAACCATCAGAACGCATTTACAGATCTAACTTAACGAGACACATAAAACGAGTCAATTCTCAGTGATTCAATATGGAATGTCTTGATGCAATTTCAGGAAGAAGAAGCGGGCAATTGTAATGATGGTGACAGTGGTGTTTCTCTTTGCAGTCTGCTGGGCCCCTTTCCATGTGATTCACATGATGATAGAATATAGTGAGTATCTGTCATGTGTCATACAATGAAGCCTTTCTTTTTTTTTTTAATAATGTAACTACAGGTTTTAAAATGCTAGGGCTGCTGCAGCATTTGGCTATAGAATGCCTTCTGCTAGCAAAGGCTGATGTTTTGCTCATAAATCCTGAATCCTTGTGTTGTGATGGAGATATATATCAACAACAGATAAATTATTCTGAAGTCTGTGAGTGATAGACAGATCTGCAGTGCTCATGGACAGTGAGTACATTTCAAAAAATCTTATCAGATGCAGTATTTGGGAGAGACCTTATTTGTGAGATACACTTGTGTGTCAGCCAGGTCTCCTCCTCTCTGCTGCGTGAATAAAAGATTATCATTGAGTCTGGGTGTAGACTGGACTGGAGACTGGGTAGGTGGGAGGGAATGCAAACTCTACCAGCTCTTTCAGAATGTAAGCCCTTTAGAAAGGAGATTGTCATTGCTTCTGAATTTGTACAGCACATAATCCAGTCCTAAAAAGGATGTTTGCTAGGCATTGCAAGACTCAAGAAACAGCAAGACTTGGATGTTAGGATCGTGATCATATATCTGTAGACTGTCTTTCTTTCTGTCTTTCTCATGCTACCATCATTTGCTGAAAGTTCAAAAGAACCTGGCTGGAAGGTAGAAGTTATTTCCAAGAGTAACACCTCTCAAACAAATAACTTTTAAATTAAAATTTAATTTTAAATTAATGTATGAAGACTTCTATTTGCATCTACATATGCTGTCATACTGCTTTAAGTTAAATAGCTGTGAAGTATTTATCCCTATACTTGCTCTGGTTTTAACAAGCTAGATATATTGGAAGTATATATACTGGACATCATAGTGATAATACCCAACTAATCTAGTTGAACTTTTTCAGTCCTCTGGACTTGATGCTAGGATGCTAGCTTGGAAGTGTCCTCTGTGCTTCACAGAATCACACAGAATCGCTCGGTTGGAAAAGACCTCCGAGATCATCATGTCCAACTGCTCCTGTCTACCCCCTAAACCATATCCCTAAGTACCTCGTCTACCCGCTCTTTAAATACATCCAGGGATGGTGACTCCATCACCTCCCTGGGCAGCCTGTTCCAGGTTCTAACAACCCTCTCAGTAAAGAACTTCCTCCTTATCTCTAACCTGAACCTCCCTTGGCACAGCTTGGTGCCATTTCCCCTTGTTCTATCCTCCATCACCTGGGAGAAAAGACCAGCACCCACCTCTCTACAACCTCCCTTTAGGTAGTTGTAGGTGGTGATGAGGTCTCCCCTCAGCCTTCTCTTCTCCAGGCTAAACAACCCCAGTTCCCTCAGCCGCTCCTCATAAGGCTTGTTCTCTAGACCCCTCACCATCCTCGTGGGTCTCAACATCTTTCTTATAGTGAGGGGCCC